ACGTCTTCGGACAGTGCTGGCTCTTCGGCTTTGAAACGGAGATGAGCACTGCCCCCTACAGTTGGGAACGACTAGCATATATGTGCGAGGGGAACCTTTACTTTTACCTTATACTAATTTATAAACATACATTTTGTGTATTAAAGTTGTTTTTGACTTCAGTGGTCACATCGATAGACTTTCTCCATGATGATTATCCCTAACTTTTCTTTTCTGGCCTCCCAAGTATTCACTCATCATCATTGTAACAGAGCAAGAAGCTTCCCATGCATATTCTAATGGGGGTGACTTTGGGATCTAGGTTGAACGAAATAGGGGTTTCCCTATACTCACCTAAAGTCCCATCAAATACCGTGTTTCCCTGAAAACAGGATATCTCCTGAAAATAAGGCCAAGCCTGTTTTTTGGGTTGGGCCTAAATATACGCCCTCTCCTGAAAATAACCCCCCCTCTCATACACACACATGCACACACAGGTCCCTCACCCCCACAAGGCAGCCACATCCCTGCAAACTCCTGCACCCCCGCCCCTTTCATTGCCCGCCACACTGACTGTAGACATCAAATGCCTGCTCCTGCGCCATAGTGGCAGCCCGCCCGCTCTTGCCCCCTCTTCCAGGCACCACATCTGCATAGCTTGCACTACCAAGCGCCTGCCACAGCAGCCCCAGTGCAAGCATTGCCACCCCAGGGCTTCCTTCACAGGGTGGCCACTGGCAGCAAAGCTCAACCGTGAGCGAGGAGCGTTGGCCATGGCTGGGCCAGCCGAGCTGTGTGTGTTGGCGCTGCCCTCAGCGTGGCTGCCTGGCATCTTACTGCCGAGCTCCTGGAAAGAGTAAATTGGACCTGCAGGATCTCTGGCGGGTGCTCCAGTCAGTCAGCGCGCAGGCAATCGGAGTGGAGAGGAGCAGGGGGGGAAGGGAAGGCTTCAGGCCACTGTCACCATAGAGTGGGAAGCACACTCCCAGAGTGGCCGCTGTCCTGGCTGGGATTTGGAAGCCACAGAGGCAGTTTCGGGGAGAGAAAGAAAGACGTCTACTGCTTCTGCTTTTGGCTGTATGCAAGGAAATCAACCAAGACATGATGGTCAAATAGGACCCCCTGTCCAATTCCATGTCACGGTGATCCCTCAATTTGAACTGTGACATGTAATTTCTTGGTGCGATAGGTGCGATAGGTGTCTGAATGTCCAATGATTGCTTGATGAGTTCCCTTGTTTCCTCGGTTCGATTTTCTCTCCATTTATACTTCTGAAACCGTGTTTTCTGGAATGCCGTTTGGGTAGCATATAGTCATGGCAGGGAAACTGGTTGTTGGTTTTGGTTAATAAAAACTGGCTGGGTTCTGGCTATTTGCTCTTGTGGTGCACGGTGGCCACTTCTCTTTGCTTATGGCTGCTACTTTGTTTCTTCATTGCTGCTGATTTATTGGAGGATTTGTTTGCTCTGGCTTTGTCCAGCGCTACTTAGAACGTGATGCCTGGTTTGCTGAATTCAGTCAGCTGCGATTTCTCTTATTTTTGCAACAAAGTCATTAATTGTCTCCCTCTCTCTTTGATAACTCCGGTAAAAGTAATTCCTCCTTACCAGGTTCAAGGTGGCTGGTGCGTAGTGTTTTCGCAGCTCTTAGAACTGAAAAAAAAAAAAAATTGCTACTAACCTGCCTTCCATTGAGGACCTGTATACTGCACGAGTCAAAAAGAGGGCTGTGAAAATACTCACGTCCTGGACATATATTGTTTCAACTCCTACCGTCAAAACGACGCTATAGAGCACTGCACACCAGAACAACTAGACACAAGAACAGTTTTTTCCTGAACGCCATCACTCTGCTAAACAAATAATTCCCTCAACACTGTCAAACTATTTACTAAGTCTTCACTACTATTAATCTCCTCATCGTTCCCACTACCCATCTCTTTCCACCTATGACTTACGACTGTATCTTTCTTGCTTGTATCATTACAATTTATATTGATATTGTTTCCTGATTGCTTATTTGTACCCTATGATTATTATTAAGTGTTGTACTTTATGATTCCTGATGAATGTATCTTTTGCAATCCCCACCCCGAATCCAAAACGGTTCCCAGTTCCCCCGCTGCACATTGCAAGGGAACTGGCCGGCCGCCGCCTGAAATGCGGCTCTGAAAATTGGATTGGGGAATCCAGGCAGCGGTGGCTGGAAAGGAGGGGCGTTTTACTTTAGGAGCTCCCGTTCGTCTCGGCTTGGATCCTGGGCGCAGAGAGGGTTTAGGCAGTGGCAGCGGCGGCTCCTCACATTGCTGGGGGGTGAAGTCATCACGAACATTGTCTGCCCTGAGCTGCCCGCTGGGTGGCCAGAGGGGTGACCAGCCTCAAATCGTGGCACCTGCCTTGTTCCCCGAAGCTGCCGGGTGGATTCCCACTCCCCTCAGACCGTCCCAAAGAGGTTTGTTCCTCAGGCTGTGCCCCGACCCAGATCCCCGTCGCCTGGAACTGCCCAAAAATGGCTGAAGGTTGGGGGCCGGTGGGTGGGCGGGGCTACATTCGGCGTATAAGACGCACCCAGATTTTCACCCCCTTTTTGGGGGTAAAAAGGTGCATCTTATACACCGAAAAATATGGTAATTTGAGCCATCTCTTTCTGCCTCATGGAGTTCAAGAACATAGTCATATAGCTACTCGTTTCATCCAGTTTACACTGTAAAAGGGCATCTCTGGCGGCAACAAGTGTGAAAACCCGTGCTTTGGGTAGCTTGTGCAAAATGTCATCAAGTGTTGGCATTAAGTAGTGTGACCGTTTCAGGGCCATATTCAGAAACTTAGGATCAATGCAGATTCTAATCTTCTCCGGCCTGCTAATAACAACCATGTTGCTTATCCAATCAGTGGGCTCAGATATTGAAGTAATATGTCCTTCTGTCTCATACTTATCTAGTTGTGCTTTACCCTGCAGCTTAATAGCTATAGGCATATTACATGGAGCACTTTTATTGGAGAAATGGTAGAATCAAGTTCAAAATGAACCTCTCCTGGAACAGATGCTATGGGGCCCTCAAATACCTCCTTGTAAACTTGGAGGATTTGCTATTTTGTCTCACCAGTGGTTTCAGGAGGTAACTCATAACATTGTGTAACTCAGCCGGAATGGTGAACTGCATCAACCCCAAGTGCTCACATGTTGATCCTGACAGTAATGGCTTCTGATCAGCTTCCACAATCTCAAATTCAAATTTATAAATATCCCCACGTATGCTGCATTCTGTTTGAAATAGGCACAGTGATTCCATTAGTTCCCCTGAATATAACTTCAGTTTAGTATTACTAGGCCGAAGAAGTATCTCGGGTGCCAGTTTCATTTTATCCTTTAGCCTCATTACATCACATGTTGTACCTGAGTCCAGCTGGCATGGTTGAATTATGTTATTAAACCTGAGATTTATAAACCATTTTTTGCCCTTAGGGTGTACGGTGCATTATTTCCTATAAACCACATCAGTTCATCCGATTCATCCTCCGAGTCTGACATTTGGTCAATTGTGTGCAGCTTCCTCACTTCCATTTTACGTGCCCAACACACTCCTGCGAAGTGATTTAACTTCCAACACACACTGCAGGTTTTTCCATCTGCAGGGCACTGCTCTCTCTCTCTTGTATATGCACACTGACGCAATACTTGCATACTACTTGATTATTTGCAAACGAATTATAAAGCTACGTTTTATGCTTGTACTGATAGTTCATCATACTCAGCTGTTGTTTAGAGACTGTATTGACACAATCATTAACATGCTCTAGAGCTTTCAGCCATTTGTCAGTAAGTTCTATTGTCCAACACATCTCAATTGCTGCTTGTAAACTTAAATTATGCTCCCTCAAGAGGCAGCAGAGTGTGCTTTCACTGGTAACACCTAAAACTATTTTGTCCCGAATAAGTTCATCTCTTAAGGGGCCATAGTCAGAGCTTGCAGCCTTTTCCCTTAAGCATTGACAAAGTTATCTATTGTTTCACCTTCTTCTTGCTTTCAGCTGCTGAATATATATCTTTCATAAATGACATTTTAAGAGGTCTAAAACAGACCTCTAAAGCATCTAGGATAACTTTGATGTTCCTTTTTGCTCCTCAGTAGGGGTTGTGTTTATAAATGTGGAGGCATTCACTACCCATCAATCTCCTCAATGTGGTGGCTTGTAATGCTGCTGGTTTATCTATCAAGCCTCTAGCTAAGGAATAGTCTTCAAGCTCTGCCCTGAATGTATCCCAATTGCTGTTTCAGTCTCCACTCACCCTTATTTATTTATTTATTTTTCAAACTTTTATACCGCCCTTCTCCCGAGGGACTCAGGGCAGTGTACAGCCAATGATAAAAACATCAATACAAAAGTTAAAACAATTTAAAACTAATTAAATAATATGGCCAATAATTAAAACCCCAAAAAACTAAAAACTAAAACCCATTAAAATTCTCATGCCGCCAGACCAGCTTGCTGAAATAATAAAGCCTTAAGGCCTCAGGCAGAGGTATGTTGTTAGCAGCTGCCATTCTGATGAGTTCCTTGCTTCAACTGCTTGGCTTTCGGGAGTATGCCTCAAATGTATCAGGAAGACATAGATTGAGACTTCTGACACCAGCAGTTAACAGTGATAAGCCATCATTAGCAGTATATATGACAGGAACCGGAAAATGCCTCACAGGAGCAGCTAAAGGCAACTCCTAGAGAGGCAGGAAATGCATCTCAGAATAGAGCTGCCTACACAGCAGACAGAACCACTGTAACAATTAACACCAGTAGGAAGTCTTCTGGAGAGCACCGAGAATATTTCAATGCCCCCATGACTACAGAAGTGGCTGTTCTCATTGTTGGCCAGGATTTGTCAATTTATCAAGCCCAATTACATAGTTCTGTAGTGAACTATGTGTGTTTGTGTGTATACACACACACACACACACACACACACACACACACAAACAAACAGTATGTGTGGAGCCCTCATCACTGAGCAACAGTTGGGAAATGAGCTTTACATTACCTTTTTTATTATTAAATTCATTTATTATTAAACGTAATCACTGCTCATCTCATAGTTTGAGGCAACTCTGAGCAACTTGCCTTGCCCTAATGTTCATAGCAACATTGACAATACTCATGTTTACATGTCAAAAGCTACTGATAATAGTAACATAATGCATTTTCTTAAAAAGAACATTTTCTCCTGTACATTTTTTCTTGTTAAGGCAGCAAAACAAAGTTTGTCAGTCTTCTGCACAACAGTGGGGCAAAAGAGCAGCCACTTCCACAAGTCCACCACATGGCCCAGGGACATCCAGGGCCCACTGAAAATGGTGGCTGCTTCCAGGACACAGTCATATGTTCCTCCCCACTGCCACAGCATGAGGATCAGAGATCTTCAAAGGTTAGGAGGTGGAAGGTGTGAGGGATGGAGGAGTGTGAGTCAGGTGTAAGGGGACCCTGGGGGTGGGGGAAGAGAAAGGACTAGGTGGGACCCTGTGGAGGAGTGAAGGGGCTGAGGGGACACAACGGTTAGGAAACAGAGTACAGGGTGTCTTGGAGAGCAGGGGAGGCCTAGGGATGACTATGGCAGGCTAGGCTTCCAAGAATTTTCCCCAACGTTGAGGTAGCCAGTGTTCTGCTTAGCACCTTGCACATTCAAATAATAGTTGCCTCAGGAAGAGCAGGGAGATTTGGGTAGTTAAGACTTAACACTTAACGGCCATTGCAACATGCAACCGTAACTGCAAGGCCCATAATAGTTCTATCTAGAGGACTATATTTCTGCTGGCTGGTGAATTCTGGGGCTTAAAATCAGGGCAAAACCAAGGGAGAAAACTGAAATGGACCACATGTGGGTCCATAATCAACATACAAAAGCACCATCCAAAATTCCTTTTTGAAGAATTCCACTACTTCTGCAAAAGGAAATATACAGAAGTTTCTGCTGATAACCAGAAAATGGCAGTTAGCCACTTCCCTTTTCTCTCCACCTACAAATTTAATCCTGAGAAACATTTGAGTAAAAAGAATCAGGCCAGAATTGAAATAGTCAGTTTCTCACCTACACATTGTGAATGGGAGATCACAAATGAAATTCAAATCTTCTCTAAATTCTTCAACTGTTGCTACATGTGAATTTCCTTGTGAGCATTAAGGGATGATTTATGCTTAAAGTAATGTCCACAGACGGGACATTTGAAAGATTTCTCCAATGTGTGAGTCTTCTGGTGCCTCATGAGATTGGAATTCTGACTGAAAACTTTTCCACAGTCAGGACATTTAAAGCGTTTCTCTCCTGTGTGAGTATTCTGGTGTTTCACCAGGCTAGAATTATCACAAAAACTTTTCCCACAATCTGGACATTCAAAGGGTTTCTCTCCTGTGTGAGTCCTCTGGTGTCTCTTGAGATTGGAATTCTGACTGAAAACTTTTCCACAGTCAGGACATTTAAACCGTTTCTCTCCTGTGTGAGTTCTCTGGTGTTTCACCAGGTTGGAATTCTCACAAAAACTTTTCCCACAATCAGGACATTCAAAGGGTTTCTCTCCTGTGTGAGTTCTACGGTGTTTCACCAGGCTAGAATTATTACTAAAACGTCTCCCACAATCTAGACATTCAAAGGGTTTCTCTCCAGTGTGAGTCCTCTGGTGGTTCACCAGGCTGGAATTATCATAAAAACTTTTCCCACAATCAGGACATTCAAAGGGTTTCTCTCCTGTGTGAATTCTACGGTGTTTCACCAGGCTGGAATTATCATAAAAACTTTTCCCACAATCTAGACATTCAAAGAGTTTCTCTTCTGTGTGAGTCCTCTGGTGGTTCACCAGACTGGAATTATTATAAAAACCTTTCCCACAGATTGGACATTCAAAGGATTTCTCTCCTGTGTGAGTCCTCCGGTGGTTCATGAGTTGAGAATTTTGACTGTAAGCTTTCCCACAATCTGGACATTCAAAAGGTTTCTCTCCTGTGTGAGTCCTCTGGTGGTTCATGAGGTGGAAATTTCGACTATAAGCTTTCCCACAGATTGGACATTCAAAGGATTTCTCTCCTGTGTGAGTATTCTGGTGTCTCATGAGGTGGGAATTATAACAAAAACCTTTTCCACAGTCTGGACATTCAAAAGGTTTCTCTCCTGTATGAGTACTCCGGTGACATATAAGGTGGGAATTATTTCTGAAACTTTTCCCACAATCAAGACATTCAAAGGGTTTCTCTCCTGTGTGAGTCCTCTGGTGGTTCACCAGGCTGGAATTATAACTGAAAAGTTTTCCACAGTCAGGACATTCAAAGGTTTTCTCTCCTGTGTGAAGTCTTTCGTGTTTCAACAGGTTGGAACTCTGAGTAAAACATTTCCCACAATCAGGACATTCAAAGGGTTTCTTTCCTGTGTGTGTTATATGGTGTTTCACCAGGCTAGAATTATAACTAAAACTTTTCCCACAATCTAGACATTCAAAGGGTTTCTCTCCTGTGTGAGTCCTCTGGTGTTTCACCAGGCTGGAATTATCACTAAAACCTTTCCCGCAATCTAGACATTCAAAGGGTTTTTCTCCTGTGTGAATACTCTGGTGTCTCATGAGGTGGGAATTCTGACTAAAACCTTTACCACAGTCTGGACATTCAAAAGGTTTCTCTCCTGTGTGAGTATTCTGGTGATATATTAGGTAGCAATGCTGACTGAAACTTTTCCCACAGTAACAACATTCAAAGGGTTTCTCTCCTGTGTGAGTCCTCTGGTGTATAACCAGGTAGGAATTCTGACTGAAACGTTTCCCACAGTCACAACATTCAAAGGGTTTCTCTCCTGTGTGAGTCCTCTGGTGTCTCACAAGGCGGGAATTATCGTTAAAACTTTTCCCACAGATAGGACATTCAAAGGGTTTCTCTCCTGTGTGAGTCCTCTGGTGTATTACCAGGTCGGAATTCTGACTGAAACGTTTCCCACAGTCACAACATTCAAAGGGTTTCTCTCCTGTGTGAGTCCTCTGGTGTCTCACAAGGCGGCAATTATCGTTAAAACTTTTCCCACAGATAGGACATTCAAAGGCTTTCTCTCCTGTGTGAGTCCTCTTGTGTATTACCAGGTAGGAACTCCGACTGAAACTTTTCCCACAATCACAACATTCAAAGGGTTTCTCTCCAGTGTGAGTTTTCTGGTGTCTCATCAGGTGGGAATTATAACTGAAACTTTTCTCACAATCAGGACATTCAAAGGGTTTCTCTCCTGTGTGAGTCCTCTGGTGGTTCATGACTTGGGAATTTTGACTGTAAGCTTCCCCACAACCTAGGTATTCAAAGGGTTTTTCTCCTGTGTGAATACTCTGGTGTCTCACCAGTTTGGAATTATCAGTAAACGTTTTCGCCCAGATAGGACATTCAAAGGGTTTCTCTCCTTTGGGTTTCCTCTGGTGTATCACCAAGGTTCAAATTACAACTGAAAGTTTTCCCACAATCAGGACATTCAAAGCATTTTTCTCCTCTGGTGTATCTCAAGGTTGGAATTCTGACTGAAACTTTTCCCACAGAATGGTCATTCAAATGTTTTTTTTCCTGTGGAGTTCTCTGTTGTGTGAGATGGACATTTCTAATGAGGTTTTTCCCACAATCTAGACATTCGTACAGTTTCTCCCTGGAGTCAATCCACTGATGGATCACCAGACTGGAATTGTGACTGAATTTTTTTACGCAGTCGGCACATTCAAATGGTTTCCCTTCTTTGTGAGTCTCCGGTGCTTCACCAGATTGGAATTCTCACTGAAACTTTGCCCACAGAAAGGATGTTCAAATGGTTTTATTCCTGTGTCTGCATCCTTTAGTGTCTCAGGTCCTGGGAATTTCTAATGAAACTTTCACACAATCTGCACACTCATGTTTTCTCATTGTGGCGAGTCCTCTGATGTATCTCCATGTTGCCATTCTCACTAAGACTTTCCTGAGGAAGCATTGTCCAAAAATATGGACAATGCTTTGTTTAGTGGTGCTTCCATTTAAGCCATTTAAGCCATTTTCTTCCTGACAGGGTGTGCCCTGCATTCCTGTCTCCACTCCGTGGCTTTACTATTGACCTTTTCCTCCCCACTGACTTCCAGATATTTTCCTTTTTTGCTGATTGAAAAATAATCTCCTCTGACTTTTCATGTAATGTATCCTTGAGTTCTGCATAATCTGCTTTTTCGAGCTTGAAATCTTTCTTGATTTTCTCTCTTTTGCTGGAGGAGGAGGAGGAGGAGAATTGTGTGGTTTTCTGAAAGAAATGAAAAATATTTTGATTTCTGGCTTGATTTTCTTCCCTTTTCAACCTTGCTTGTTATTTACAGTTGTCCCGAGTGTTGTTATTGCCATCCTCTTTGTCTGTAGGATTCAAAGAAAAGTGTAACTTTTATTGTTTATAAAATGATTAGAAAGGTGAAGAAAGAAAAAAAGTATATATTACAATGAAAAAGCAAACATGCCCCAATACTAGTATAGTCTCTTATCTTATTTATGATCACTTACAATATTGATGATTCATTTGATACAGGAAAGACTACTAAGATCCATTCAAATTCAGTTGTTGATTGGAGTCAATTACAAATTCTTAGCAATGCAAAGACTATCATAAATTATATCTTGAAATGCTTTGTATAGATTTTATCATTGCAGACATATCCCTACAGAGGGAAATACAGATACATCCACCTAGACATGTATATATGGAAAAAATCTATGTCTTTCACACCTGACAAAATGTTCCTTAAATGGTTACAGTCAAATCTTCTGAGCTAAATTTAGAGATGTGGGGGCTTTAACTGATGAAATGATTCCAAAAGCCTCTGCAAGCTTTGAAGTACCATTTTTGCTCATGGAAGTCCTTCAGCTGCAGATAACAGCAGAAAATACTGCCTACAACTCTTCTGGTGACATCCTTATTCAAGTAGACCTCACTTAACCTACCACAATTGGAACTGATATTTGCATCCCTAAGCAGCTCAATTATTAAGCATGATGTCACATAACAGTGCCAACTTACATCTGTTCCTCTGTAGTTGTTTAGAAAATTACTGTGGGACTTCCGGCTGTACTTCTGGCACCTTCGGAGCAGGAACTGCAACCTTCATGGTCCCGTTACAAGCTCTCTTTCGAGGGCTGAAATGTGAGCCAAAGCCATTCTGGAGGAGTGGTGAAGTAAAGGGAGAAAATACTTTTAATTGCAATTTGACCCCAAAAACTCAAAGGGAATATACATTTAGAGATATTTGTTAAAGCAGCGACCAGGCATCCAGAAAAAAACCCAGACATTAAAGAAGGATTTTTTTAAAAAAAAATACAAATAGAAATCTGCATTTTGAAAGAGAAAAGGCATGACATGGCGAAGGCATTTTAAATGTTGGAATTATAACTACAAACTTTTGTTTCATCATTATCGCTCATTTATTGGATTTACAACTTTAAATAATTGAAATTGGATTTTTTAACAATAAAGCAGAGAGGCTGGGGTAGACTGAAGTGAGAGCGCCAGCTGCTGATAAAACATGAACTAAGCAACTTTGGAAATAACTAGTTAAAAAGACTGAAAATACTTGTTGGATAAGCTTCTAATTTAAGACCACTGGAGATTTAAATAAAAGATTTTTGAATATTACTGAACATATAAAAGTGACTTGAAGAGGGTGGAAAACTCCCTGGTGCACCAAGATTGAATAGACTGTATTGATGAAATATTTAAAAACTGTGGTCTGGAAATCTTGTAAACTAAACGGATTGGAGCCATCTCAAAGCACTAAGGAACTACTTGGTCACATGGGCCAAATGTTTGATTGCGTAGTTGAAAGACTGGAAAATATAACGCAAGAGATAATGAGCAAAAATTTGGATAATGAGAGGGCAATGGAGTTATCAGAAGACATGGGAGAGAAAGCAGAAGTGAGATGCCAACAAGATGAAGATAACAAGAGATACCACTAAAATTAATAATGATTAAAAATTAAAACAGCAGGGAAATAATATAAAAGTTTTAAAGAGGGAATGGGAGAAACAGGAAGAGAATTGGGGAAAAGAGAAGGGGCATGGAATAGATAGTTTCGAAATCAGACAGAGAGGAAAGGTAGAGGGAGGAAAAAAACCTACGTTATATAATGTAGAATATATAAAAATATATTCTACATTATAGAATATATAATGTAGAATATAAAAATCTATATACAGAATATAGATTTTGAAACAGAAGGAGAAAAAGGCTTAAAAGAAGAACACCGGAAGCAAGTTTAAGAAAAAAAAGACTAAAAACTTGGAAGCAGCCAAGAGATGATGGATAAGAGGGGTAAAAAGAGTAAAAAATTATTGTTGAATATATATGAATAATGTATACCATTATTAGAATTATATAGGTTGGAAAATTACTTTGTAAATTAGATAACTAGAATTTGTATGAGGGTATTATTAAATGTGTATAAAAATGTGATTAGCAATGAAAAGCTAAAATTAAACAATTTGAGAACATATTTTAATGAAAACATGTGTATAGATTCTAGAATTATAAGGATTGAAGGATTGGAAATAATATGAATATGAATAAATGTACATTAAATGTTTGAATGATTATGGTTGGAAATAGAAGTGTATACTGAAATATTGAATAATGAAAGAAAGAGGGATCACACCTTTGAATATTAGAGTATGGGAGGGGGGGAAGTTAACATAGAGGTAGAAGTAAGAGGGGAATAATAGTAAAAAATAGACACAAAAATGTTACAATGAATGGAAGAACTATGAGAAGGTTTAGAATTGAAGGACGATAGTAAAGATTATGTGTTAACAAAATGAAAAATGAAAATGAAATGTAATTATTAGGAATAATAATGTTATGTTTATTTGCATTGAAACGTATGATACCCAGATACACCATTCACACAATAGATGTATAAAATTAAAAATAACAAACTTGGAAAAAAAAATTCTTAGCAATGCAAAGGACTATCATCAATTATATCGTGAAGTGCTGGGGATAGATTTTATGACTTTCAAGCCTGACAAAATGTCCCAAAATGGTTACAGTCAAACCTTCTAAGCTAAATTTAGAGCTGTGGGGCTTTAGCTGATGAAATGAGCCTGATTATTTATTTATTTATTTTAATTTTTATATCGCCCTTCTCCCAGAGGACTCAGGGCGGTGCACAGCCAACAATAAAACACACCTATACACAAAATTTAAAAACAGTTTAAAAACATATTAAATAATTTGGCCCAATATCATTAAAAAAGACAACCATTAAAATACATGTTTAGACCAGCCCAGCTTGTTGGAACAGTAACGTCTTGAGGGCACGGCGAAAGGTGTTATTAATCATTATGTCACATGATAGGGCCAATTTACATCTGTTCCTTTGTAGGTGTTAAGCAAATTAATGTGGGTTGTTAAAGGAAATTTCATATGACTGTGACTTGCAATTTACTACCAGTATACCCACTGATTTTGCTTATCAGAAGCTAGCTGGGGAGGTCACAAATGAGGATCATGAGTGTGGGATGCTGCCGCCATCATAAAGGTGCAACTATTGGAAGAACCCGAGTTCGTGCAACTCCTTTTCCTGCACCTTCAAAACCACAGTCACTGCTGATGTGCGGTCACTGAACAAGTGCTAGGATTACTACAAATTTTGTGGACCAGGTGCACGTCTGCTTCTACTGTGCCATAGTAACTTTGAAGGCTCAGGGAAGAAGTGGTAAGTGAGGACTACCTGTGCAACCAAAGATGCCAAAAGGTCCTCAATAGCTATTTCTTAGGAAGTGCTGGATTAAGCACAATTGAACCTGGTTATAATACATGGATGGGACAGGAAATACCATACTTATTGGCAAGACTTGGAAATAAAAAAACATTGATCGGTTGAACGGTGTTCCAATACTGGAAGAGTTCACATAAAGAAGAGGGTGTCAACTTAGTTTCCGAAGCACCAGAGAGCAAGACAAGAAGCAACGGATGGAACTAATCAAGGAGGGAAGCAACCTAGAACTAAGGAGAAACTTCCTAACAGTGAGAACACGTAACCAGTGGAACAGTTTATGTTCAGAAGTTGTAGGTGTTCCATCACTTTTAGAAGGGATTGCACAGCCATTTGTCTGGAATGAGCAGGGGATTGGGACAGAAGTTTCAGCTCATCCCAGTGACGGAGCACCCAGAACCATTCCCAAAGAACCAACCTCCACTTGAAAGAGGCTTTTTCAAGCTTCCCACCAGCAGAAATTGCAGCCCCCAGTTTCCCAGCCTGCAGCACCAGTGGGCTTCCATTTGGGGAGGGAAGGAACCTGCAGCAGCCGCAGCTGAGAGGCTTCAGCCCAGTTGCTTCTCCGCTTCCAGGCCGTGGAGGGAACCGAACAGCCCGACTTGCTCCCGGACTCTCCTCCCACCTGCAGCCCTCCACTCACCTCCAGCTGCTGCTCCGACCCTGGGAAGAGCACAAGAGCCGCTCTGCACACCAACTTCCTCCCATCAGCCATCCGGAAGAGGAGGTTCCTCTGTGCTTCTCCTCCCATCCCATCCTTTCTAGCCATACAGTACTTGATGGTTTTAACTCTTTAAACTCAAGAGTTTAAACTCAGAGCCTGCCTACTGTATTGTCAGCTTTCTAGGCACAGATGTTGTCCCCTTGACTTCCATCTCCCGATAGGAAACGTTTGTCCCGTCTCTACCTAAGGCGTGTGGAAGGTGTTTTCACTGATTAAATGCGATCAAGTCATTTTTCTCTTCTAGCAACCGACTTTTGCAACTGAGCCAAGTGTGATGTGCTCAGCTATTAACCTGAATAGAATAGAATAGAATAGAATAGAATAGAATAGAATAGAATAGAATAGAATAGAATTGAATTCTTTATTGGCCAAGTGTGATTGGACACATAAGGAATTTGTCTTTGTGCCGAGCTCAAAAGTTAATGACTTTTACAGAGTTACAGAATCAGCTTTCTTGGGGGTGTCTCTCAGTGGAGATCAAAGCCTCTCTACACCCTAAATATTTATGACTTATTTAATGTGGCTCCCAAGGATTTAGGACGGGGCACCAAACCCTCCAGGGAGCCAGCTTCACTCTTGCTGGCCAGGGCTGCATCCAGGGGCACGGAGGATAAAGCTTGATTCCTGAAGGAGGGAATTGTATATCTGCTAATGTTAAATGCCATGTGTAAACTCTGTAAACTTACTTGCGGGGAAGTCTCCATTAGGTCACAGATAGAGGAAAATATGCAGCCTCAATATATACAGGTAGTCCTCAATTTACGACCACAATTGAGCCCAAAATTTTTGTTGCTATGTGACTCTGGACACTGCAACTGTCATAAATATAAGTCAGCTGTCAAGCATCCGAATCCAAATCACATGACCATGGGAATGCTGCACACAGTCATAAGTGTGAAAAATGGTCATAAGTCGCTTTTTTCAGCGCCGTTGTAACTTTGAACGGTCACTAAATGAACTGTCCTGAGTAATTGTCCTAATATCTGCCTCCTTCTGGGTTGCTTACAGCAAGCTTTCTTTGGATAGCTGCCGTCAGCCACGGTTACCTGAGCTTCTCTCCAAGCACCCCAGATATCCGGGAGTGATTGAAGAGTCCGGGATTTAGGAAGCTCGGCAATCCTGATTGATTTTAAAAGGAGACCAGATCTGTTGTCAAGGTTCCGACAGATGCCCTAATTAACTCATGAGTCTCGAGCCAAGTTTCAAAAGGAATCCAATGATTTATTAGGAGCAGCATGTCGGCCTCTAGGCATCTACTCAAGTGAGGTCTGCTCTGCTGCATGTAAGTTACAGCTCACCTTTGACCCTGTCCCCCCCCTCCTTTCAGTTTGTGTCATAAATGACATTCTCCAATGAGGTACTCCCGCGGGCTGTAGAGACACGCCTCACAACCCGGCTTTGGTAATTCAAAGTTGGAAGAAGGTACGCATGGAATGTGCCCCCCCCTTGCTTCTAATGGCAACTCAAGAGCAGACTAGAAATGCTTTTGCGAGTTGACACATAAATTTACAAGGAGTAAACCTTAACATGGAGAGTTTTAGAACTCCCAACACAAAGAACAATGCAGGCACCAGTTTTAAAGCATGTGCCACCAGTGGAATACAATCTGAGGAGGGAAGGAATTTAGAGCAGCTGACATGTTTCAGCCTCTTGCTTGTCTGCTATTACACCTGGGGAATCCCAACCAGCCCTACTTGCTTCCGGCCTCTCCTCCACCTGTCCACACCTCACCTTTCAGCTGCTGCTTCCACCCTGGGAAGACCAGGAGGGCCATCCTCCCCGCCTCCACCCTCTCAGCAGAGCCGGAAGAGGCTGTTCTTCTTCTCCTTCAAATCCTCTCTAGGAATCTACTGTTCAAATGTTTGTTTGTTTATTTATTTACTTTTAACAATTTTTATTGAACAATTTTTAAAATTTTTGACAATTTTCTCCTTTGCAACATTTCCGCATCAGTATACTTCCACTATATATCCATTTCCCCCCCTTACATCTATATGAAGGAACAGGCAGACGAGATCTCAGAACCACTGAACTACATCTCTCAAAGATCCTGGAGCACAGGGGAACTGCCAGAAGTCTGAAAAAGAGTTGATGTAGTTCCCATCTTCAAAAAAGGGAAAAAAACAGATCCAGGAAACTACAGACTTATCAGCCTGACCTCAATGCCAGGGAAGCTTCTGGAAAAGATAATCAAGCAACAAATCATCAAACACCTAGAAGCAAACAAAGTAATAACCAAAAGCCAACATGGGTTTGTCAAAAACAGATCATGCCAGACTAATCTTATTGCATTCTTTGACAAAGTGACAAAATTAGTGGACCAGAGGAATACTGTCGATATAATTTACTTGGACTTCAGTAAAGCATTTGATAAAGTAGACCATAACCTACTACTAGATAAAGTAGAAAAATGTGGGTTAGACAGCATCACCACCAGTTGGATTCGTAACTGGCTGACCAACTGCACTCAACGTGTAGTCCTCAATGGAACTGCATCTACATGGAGGGAAACATGCAGTGGAGTACTCCAGAGCTCTGTTTTAGGCTGAGTATTCTTCAACATCTTCATCAATGACTTGGATGAGGGGATAGATGGGAAACTCATCAAATTTGCAGATGACACCAAGCTGGCAGGAATAGCCAACACTCCAGAAGATAGGCTTAAGATACAGAAGGATCTTGACAGACTTGAACATTGGGTGTTATCTAATAAAATGAAATTCAACATTGAAAAAAGCAAGGTTCTACATTTAGGGAAGAAAAACAAAATGCACAGGTACCGTATATGTCAGTGATGGCAAACTTTTTTGGCATTGTGTGCCAAAAGTCTAAGCGTGCCTGCGCTGTCACGCTCCCGCGTGCCGGAACCCATAATGCAATGCGTGCCCCCATTTATGCATGTGTGCACGACAACCCCCACGCTCCCTCTACACATGCGCCCACACTGTGCATGCATGCCCCCCCAATGCACCCCCCCCCACTTTTTCCAAGTGGGCCGGCATACCTCTTACCAGAGGACAACTATCTTCTGTTCAACATTTATGTAAAGCCGCTGGGCAAGATCATCCATGGTTTCGGGGTGAAGTACCACCAGTACGCTGGTGACACCCAGCTGTACATCTCCACCCCAGACCACCCCAACAATGCCCTTGAAGTGATGTCCCGGTGTCTGGAGGCCGTGCGGATCTGGATGGGGAGGAACAGGCTCAGGCTCAACCCATCCAAGACCTAGTGGCTGTGGTTTCCGACGTCCCGATATAGTCAGTTGATGCCATCGCTGACTATTGAGGGCGAATCGCTGGCCCCCATGGAGAGGGCTCGCAACTTGGGCATCCTCCTGGATTCACGGCTGTCTTTAGAAGAGCACTTGACGGCCATGACCAGGAGGATTTTTCATCAGGTTCGCCTGATTCGCCAGTTGCGTCCCTTTCTGGATCGGAACTCCCTACACACAGTCACTCATGCCCTCATCACCTCCCGCCTGGACCGTTGTAATGCTCTCTACATGGGGCTCGCCTTGAGGAGCACCCGGAGGCTCCAACTGGCACAGAGTGCGGCCGCGCGGGTGGTTATGGGAGCAACATGGCGCTCCCGTGTGACACCTCTCCTGCGCGAGCTGCACTGGCTCCCGGTGGTCTTCCAGGTGCGCTTCAAGGGTTTGGTTACCACCTTTAGAGCGCTCCATGGCTTAGGACCTGGTTATTTACGGGACCGCCTACTACCACAAACAGCCTCCCACCGGCTGGTACGCTCTCACAGAGAGGGTCTCCTCTCGGTGCCGTCAGCCAAGCAGTGTTGACTGGTGGCTCCCAGGGGGAGGGCCTTCTCTGTGGGGGCACCCACTATCTGGAACGAGCTCCCCCCCGGAGATACGGAGGATCCCGGATCTGCGCACTTTCCGCCGTGCTCTTAAGACCCTCCTATTCCAGCAAGCTGGCCTGGCCTAATTTTCTCCCCCTTTTTTAATTTTTTAAACTGAAATTTTAATTTGTTTTAAATTATGGGGTTTTTTAATTGTCTTGGGCTAAATTATTTAATTTGGTTTTAAATTGTTTCTAACTTTTGTATTTATGTATTTTATTCTGTGCCTGTTCACCGCCCTGAGTCCTTCGGGAGTAGGGCGGTATATAAATTTAATAAAACATAAACAAACATAAACAAACTAGGTACCGGCCCGTTCCCTGGTGAGACAGCTGTTCCCTGCCCTGGCGCATGGTGCTGCCAAGATGGCTTGGCTGATGATCAGGCAACTCCAAAGTTTCCTGCTAAACGGGTTCGTTCTCTTGCCCATCTTCTTTCCCTGTTTAAAAGAGCTGCGCTTGTAGGGGGGAGAGATCTGACTAAAGAGCTGTGCTTTAGCTGTGCTAAAGAGCTGCCTCCTGCCTTCCACGATCTCCAAAGTTCCTCCCCCATGGAATCCTAGCTTTTTCCTTCCTTCCACGATCTCCAAAGTTTCTCCCCCATGGAATCCTGGCTTTTTCCTTCCTTCCACGATCTCCAAAGTTCCTCCAAAGTTCCTCCGCCATGGAATCCTAGCTTTTTCCTGCCTTCCACGATCTCCAAAGTTTCTCCCCCATGGAATCCTAGCTTTTTCCTGCCTTCCAGGATCTCCAAAGTCTCTCCCCCGATTGAGTGCCTCCTGCCTTCCGTGCCTCCTCAGATCTTTGCAGTTTCTCCCCCCATTGCGTGCTAGCTTTCTCCTGCTTTTCTGCCACGGTGAGGCATCTGCAGAGGGTAGAACCTGCAGAGATCGGGAAAGGAGCCTGGATTAGCTCAGCAGACTAATGCATTGTAATTTAACTCCAGCTGTCTGCAATTAAGTTCGAATCTTGCCAGGCTCAAGGTTGACTCAGCCTTCCATCCTTTCTAAGGTAGGTAAATTGAGGACCCAGTTTGTGGGGGCAATAAGCTGACTTTGTAAAAATATACAAAAGTATGAAGGCTATTGCTTAATGCATTGTAAGCCTCCCTGAGTCTCCGGAGAAGGGCAGCATATAAATCAAAAAAAAAAAAGGCCCTGGCTCCGTTCATGCGTGGCAGAGACCAGAAGACCAGCTGGCCGATTGGAGGTGCGTGCATGTGCGGTGGACCTGGGCTGAGGCAACGGCTGGCGTGCTGGCAGAAAGGGCTCTGCGTGCCACCTGTGACACGCATGCCATAGGTTCGCCATCACGGGTATATGTGGTACCTTGCTCAATAGTAGTAACTGTGAGAGGGATCTTGGAGTCCCAGTGGACAACCATTTAGATATGAACCAGCAGTGTGCAGCAGCTGCCAAAAAAGCCAACACAGTTCTGGGCTGCATAAACAGAGGGATAGAATCAAGATCACGTGAAGTGTTAATATCATTTTATAATACCACTTTGGTAAGGCCACACGTGGAATATTGCATTCAGTTTTGGTCACCACGATGTAAAAAAGATGTTGAGACTCTAGAAAGAGTCTCAGAGAAGAGCAACAAAGATGATTAGGGGACTGGAGGCTAAAACATATGAAGAACGGTTGCAGGAACTGGATATGTCTACTTTGATAAGGAGGAGGGGTAGGGGAGACATGATAGCAGTGTTCCAGTATCTGTCAGGTGTGCTTCCTTCAAAGTCCAGGAAAGAATGACCCAAACTCCATGTTTTATAGAGAAAGGTACTTTTACTAGAAATGAAGTGAACGCAACCACGGCTAAGCTGAAATTAAAGCAATAGGCGCGAAAAGTGCATATAGAAAGCATCCCCTCCCACTATCCATCGTAAATCATCCAATCCAAAGGTCTCCCAGGGTCAGGTGGAAGCACGTCTGGCAGCATCATCAATCAGGAATGCCACAACGGTTGACCCGATAGCCACTTCAAGGATTCAGTTTCGTTTCTTCCGAAGCCATGCCCCTCCTCTAGCACGCTTCCCCCCCAAGCTCCCTAGCTCTCCCCCCTCCCGGTTCCTATGGCAGCCAAAGCAGCCAAAATGGAGGCTGACATTCGGCCCCTCTGCAGAAGAGATGTTAGTCCTAAACAGGGAAGAGAAAAAAATGCAACACAGAAATTACGGTTTATCAGGGTATTTTGTATGAAACAATTGTACTTTCCTGGGCGCCTGAACATCACGTTTATTCACTCATTCAGTTTGAGATAAAGGAAAATGTTTCCAAGCCACCAGATATTGCACTTTACCATGGTGTTTCCTAGAGTCTAGAATTTTCTTAACTTCAAAATGTTGTTCCCCTTCTATCAGTATAGGGATCGGGGGAGAACCTTGGTCCGGACACAAAGGGGACGAGTGTTCTGGTTTCAACAAGCTGACATGAAATACAGGGTGTATTCATCTCAGAATTTTTGGCAATTCCAATTCAACTGGGTTTATGAGTCTAGTGATTCAGAAAGGACCCACATACTTGGGTCCAAGCTTTTTTGATTTCTGGGAAGTCTATAAATATTTGGTGGAAAGATAAACCCTGTCACCCACTTGGTACACTTGGATTTTTTTTGTCAACCTGGGTTTTATGTGCTCAATGTGTGTCATCTAAAGCTTTTCGAGTTACTGCCCAAGTACCCCGTAGCTGTTCTATCCACTCAATCAAAGAGGGGTTCTGTGGGTCATCCTGTGGTAGCTCAGGGATTGGCACAAACTCCTGACCAGACGCTACCTTAAACGGAGTGAATCCAGTGCTGCTATGTATGGAGTTATTGTATGCCACCTCTGCAAATGGCAATAGGTCCACCCAATTATCTTGCTGGTAATTTACGTAACATCTCAAGCACTGTTCTAACATGGCATTGGTTCTCTCACAAGCCCCATTAGTTTGGGGGTGGTGGGCGGAGCTTAACCCCTGGGCAGAGCCTATCAACTTTAAAAACTCCTTCCAAAAGTGGGAAGTAAATTGTACACCCCTGTCCGAAATTATACGTTTTGGAATCCCATGTAATCGGTAAACATGACGAATAAACAATTTTGCAAGGGTTTTAGCTGAAGGGATTTTAGAACAGGGGATGAAATGCACTTGTTTGGAAAACAGGTCTGTTACCGCCCAAATGACGGTGCAGCCTTCACTTACTGGTAGGTCTACAATAAAATCCATGGATATTTCTTTCCAAGGGGCATTCGGCCTTGCCACACTCTGAAGCAAACCGGGCGGTTTATTGATTACACGCATCAGTTGTTAGTTGTTTTTGACTTCAGTAGTCACATCAATAGACTTTCTCCATGATGATTATCCCTAACTTTTCTTTTCAGGCCTCCCAAGTATTCACTCATCACCCCAGAAACAGAGCAAGAAGTTTCCCATGCAAAAAGTGAGAACTACGCCAAGGGGGGGGGGGGACCTTTCATGGCTGAGGAGGGACTGAAACTTTGGTGTCTCCACTCCTAGTCCAGCAACAGCACCTCCCCCCTAACAGGAAACCACCCAGAGACACTCCCTACTACACATTCAATCACAGGAAGCAGCAGCATGGAGGGTGGTGATGAATGAATGCAAATAGTCCTCATTTAGTGATCAAAACTGTGATGGGCAATTCTGGCAAATCACTTTATTGCAACATTTTTAAGCCTAAAAATGGAAGACGAATAGGTGAAAGAGACAATGATAGTATGGGCAAAAACATTTGGATATAATATAGAACTAGATAACTGGCAAAAACTTTGGGAAAGAAACTATAAATTGACGATGGCAACCTCTTATAAAGAAAACTTGTATAAATTGTTTTATAGGTGGTACCAACGACTGGCAAGTCTAGCAAAAATGTTTTAAAATATGTCTACCAAATGTTGGAAATATAATCAAAAACTGGGCACCTATTATCACCTGTGGTGGATGTGCCCAAAAACAAACAACTTTTGGACGAAAGTGCATACTTGGTTAGAAAAAATGAATATGGATTTTAAGCCTGTACCATTTTTGTTAGACATAATACCAGAAAAATATGATAAAGGGAATGTATAATTTGATATGGCATGATTTAACAGCAGCAAGAATTGCACAATATTGAAAAAGTGAGGAAACAACTAAGGAAGAAGACATAATTAAAAAAATATTGGACTGTGCAGAAATGGACAGATTAACCCTGAAGATTAAAAAAAAAAGAAGACAGAATATTTTTGAACTTGGGACTTGTTTTATCAATGGCTGGATAAAAGACCCAGAAATATTACTATGTAAACAAATTGACTGAGACAATATGCTGTTCATTAAGCATGTGCGCACACACAGACATATTCGGCCAAAAAGGTTTCAAATAGGATGGCTGTGAATTGGGGCCCATTATTGGAAACTACAATGTCCGGCAGGCCGTGTGTGGCAAACAGCCTCTGTAATACCCTGGTAACTGCTTCGGCCATCGTAGTGGGCATCTTAACTATCTATAACCATTTGGAATATGTGTCCACTATTATTAAGAATGTTTGCCCCTGTACCGGCCCTGCAAAATCAAGATGCACCTGTGACTGTGCTTTAGGTTTCTCCCATTCATGTGCTGGGGCAATGGTGGTGCCGGTCTGGACTCCTGACAAGGTGTGCACGTGGCAACTCATTCTGTTATGTCTGTGTCCATGCCGAGCCCAAACATAGCTCCTGGGTAATGCCTGCATTCTTATAATGCCAGGGTGCCCCCCATGTCATGTTTCTAATATTGATTCCCTTAACGTTTATGGTACTACGACTCTATCCCCCACAACAGACACCGCTTTTGCACTGACAGCTCATGTTGGGGTTAGGGTTAAAGGGTTTCCATTAGCCCACCCCACTGGGGGGGGGAGAAGAGAAAGGACTAGGGGGGACCCTGGGGAGGAGTGAAGGGGCTGAGGGGACACAATGGTTAGGAAACAGCATACAGGGTTTCTTGGAGGGTGGGGAAGCCTAGGGATGACTTTGGCAGGCTAGCTTCCAAGAGTTTTCCCCAATGTTGAGGTAGCCAGTGTTCTGCTTAGCAACTTGCACATTCAATTAATACCTGCCTCAGGGAGGGCAGGGAGATTCAGGTAGTTAAGAAAATGATCATTGCAACATGCAACCGTAATTGCAAGGCCCATAATAGTTTTATCTGGAGGACTACTTTTATGCTGTTTATGCTGGGGAATTCTGGGGTTAACATCTGGGTGAAAACAAGACTTGAAACTCCACATATTGGTCCATAATCAACATACAAAAGCACCATCCAAAATTCCTTTTTGAAGAATTCCACTACTTCTGCAAAAGAAAATATACAGAAGCTTCTGCTGATAACCAGAAAATGGCAGTTAGCCCTTTTCCACTTTCCTTTTCTCTCCACCTACAAATTTAATCCTGAGAAACGTTTGAGTAAAAAGAATCAGGCCAGAATTCAAACAGTCAGTTTCTCACCTACAGTTTGAGAATGGGAGATCACAAATGAAATTCAAGCCTACTCTAAACTCTTCAACTGTTGCTGCATGTGAATTTCGTTGTGTGCTATAAGGGATGATTTACGTTTGAAGTAATGTCCACAGACTGGACATTTGAAAGATTTCTCCATGGTGTGAGTCTTCTGGTGTCTCATGAGATTGGAATTCTGACTGAAAACTTTTCCACAGTCAGGACATTTAAAACGTTTCTCTCCTGTGTGAGTCTTCTGGTGTTTCACCAGGCTGGAATTATCAGAAAAACTTTTCCCACAATCTAGACATTCAAAGGGTTTCTCTCCTGTGTGAATCCTCTGATGTCTCATGAGATTGGAATTCTGACTGAAAACCTTTCCACAGTCACGACATTCAAAGTGTTTCTCTCTTGTATGAGTCCTCTGATGTCTCATGAGATAGGAATTCTGACTGAAACCTTTTCCACAGTCAAGACATTTAAAAGGTTTCTCTCCTGTGTGAGTCTTCTGGTGTTTCACCAGGCTGGAATTATCAGAAAAGCGTTTCCCACAATCTGGACATCCAAAGGGTTTCTCTCCTGTGTGAGTCCTCTGGTGTTTCATGAGGTGGGAATTCTGATTAAAACCTTTTCCACAGTCTGGACATTCAAAAGGTTTCTCTCCTGTGTGAGTATTCTGATGATATATAAGGTAGCAATGCTGACTGAAACTTTTCCCACAGTAACAACATTCAAAGGGTTTCTCTCCTGTGTGAGTCCTCTGGTGTCTCATGAGATTGGAATTCTGACTGAAAACTTTTCCACAGTCAGGACATTTAAAGCGTTTCTCTCCTGTGTGAGTCTTCTGGTGTTTCACCAGGCTGGAATTATCACAAAAACATTTCCCACAATCTGGACATTCAAAGGATTTCTCTCCTGTGTGAATACTCTGATGTCTCATAAGGTTGGAATTATCATTAAAACTTTTCCCACAGATAGGACATTCAAAGGGTTTCTCTCCTGTATGAGTCCTCTGGTGTCTCATGAGATTAGAATTCTGACTGAAAACTTTTCCACAGTCAGGACATTTAAAGGGTTTCTCTTCTGTGTGAGTCCTCTGGTGGTTCACCAGGCTGGAATTATCACAAAAACATTTCCCACAATCTGGACATTCAAAGGATTTCTCTCCTGTGTGAATACTCTGATGTCTCGTAAGGTTGGAATTATCATTAAAACTTTTCCCACAGATAGGACATTCAAAGGGTTTCTCTCCTGTGTGAGTCCTCTGGTGGTTCATGAGTTGGGAATTTCGACTGTAAGCTTTCCCACAATCTGGACATTCAAAGGGTTTCTCTCCTGTGTGAATACTCTGGTGTCTCATGAGGTGGGAATTCTGACTAAAACCTTTTCCACAGTCAGGACATTCAAAAGGCTTCTCTCCTGTGTGTGTACTCTGGTGATATATAAGGTGGGAATTCTGACTGAAACGTTTCCCACAATCAAGACATTCAAAGGGTTTCTCTCCTGTGTGAGTCCTCTGATGTATCACTAGGTGGGAATTATCACTAAAACGTTTCCCACAGTCACAACATTCAAAGGGTTTCTCTCCTGTATGAACCCTTTCGTGTTTCAACAGTGTGGAATTATCATTAAAACGTTTCCCACAATCAGGACATTCAAAGGGTTTTTTTCCTGTGTGAGTTCTATGGTGTTTCACCAGGCTAGAATTATAACTAAAACTTTTCCCACAATCTAGACATTCAAAGGGTTTCTCTCCTGTGTGTGTCCTCTGGTGGTTCACCAGGCTGGAATTATCACTGAAACATTTTCCACAATCTAGACATTCAAACGGTTTCTCTCCTGTGTGAATACTCTGGTGTCTCATGAGGTGAGAATTCTGTCTAAAACCTTTTCCACAGTCTGGACATTCAAAAGGTTTCTCTCCTGTGTGAGTATTCTGGTGATATATAAGGTAGGAATGCTGACTGAAACTTTTCCCACAGTAACAACATTCAAAAGGTTTCTCTCCTGTGTGAGTCCTCTGGTGTATTACCAGGCAGGAATTCTGACTGAAATGTTTCCCACATTCACAACATTCAAATTGTTTCTCTCCTGTGTGAATACTCTGGTGTCTCATAAGGTGGGAATTATTACTAAAGCTTTTGCCACAGATAGGACATTCAAAGGGTTTCTCTCTTGTGTGAGTCCTCTTGTGTATTACCAGGTAGGAATTCTGACTGAAACTTTTCCCACAGTCACAACATTCAAAGGGTTTCTCTCCTGTGTGAGTTCTCTGGTGTCTCATCAGGTGGGAATTATGACTAAAGCTTTTCCCACAGATAGGACATTCAAAGGGTTTCTCTCCTGTGTGAGCCCTCTGGTGGTTCATGACTTGGGAATTGCTTCGGCCTGACTGTAAGCTTTCCCACAATCTGTGGGTTTCTTTCCTGTGTGAATACTCTGGTGTCTCACCAGCATGGAATTATCACAAAAACTTTTCCCACAGATAGGACATTCAAAGGTTTCTCTCCTTTGAGTTTCCTTTGGTGCATCACCAATGTTCGAATTACAACTGAAATGTGAAAAAAGAAAAGAAGTATATATTACAATGAAAAAGCAGACATGCCCCAATGCTAGAATAGTCTCTTATCTTATTTATGATCACTTACAATATTGATGATTCATTTGATACATGGAAGACTACTGAGATCCATGTTCAAATATCCATTCAAATTCAATTGTTTAGTTGGGTCAATCACAAATTCTTAGCCATGCAAAGGACTATCATCAATCACTGTATATCTTGAAGTGCTGGGGATAGATTTTATCATTGCAGACATATCCCTACGGGGAGAAATACAGATACATTCACCTACACATATATATACATGGAGAAAATCTATGACTTTCAAACCTGACAAAATGGCCCAAAATGGTTACAGTCAAACCTTTGGAGCTAAATTTAGAGATGTGGGGGCTTTAGCTGATGAAATGATTCCAAAAGCCTCTGCAAGCTTTAAAGCACCACTTTTGCTCATGGAAGTCCTCAGCTGCAAATAAGAATAGAAAATACTGTCTATAACCCCTCTGCTGATATCCTTGTTCAAGTAGTCTTCACTTTACCTACCGCAATTGGAACTGATATTTGCATCATTAGGCAGCTCAATCATTAAGCATGATGTTATATGACAGTGCCAACTTACATCTGTTCCTCTGTCGTTGTTTAGCAAATTAATGGGGGATTTCCAGCTGTACTTCTGGCGCCTTTGGAGCATGAACTGTGAGCCCCACGGTCCTATTCCAAGCTCTGTCTTTCGGAGGGCTGAAATGTGAGCCACAGCCTCTCTGGAGGAGTGGTGAAGTAAAGGGGGACTGCCTGGCAGGTCGAGGAGAGCCGCATGTCTCTTCTCTGCTCAGGAAAGCCACCTTATTCGAAGACAAAGAGCAGCAGCAGCAAAAATATCTGCCATTAAGCTGTGGACAGTCAGAATACGTAGGACTGTGCTGGAGCGGAGAAAGTGAATGGTGTGCAAACTGGGTGAGAAAATGCTTTTAATTGCAATCTGACACCAAGAAAATGGAGAAGGCATTTTAAATGTTGGAATTATAACTACAAACTTTTGTTTCATCATTATCGCTCATTTATTGGATTTACAACTTAAAATAATTGAAATTGGATTTTTTAACAATAAAGCAGAGAGGCTGGGGTAGACTGAAGTGAGAGCGCCAGCTGCTGATAAAACATGAACTAAGCAACTTTGGAAATAACTACTTTAAAAAGACTGAAAATACTTGTTGGATAGGCTTCTAAATTAAGACCACTGGAGATTAAATAAAAGATTTAATTTTTTAAATTTGAATAATGAAGAAAAAATGGAGTTATCAGAAGAAATGGGGGAGAAAGCAAGTGAGATGCCAACAAGATGAAGATAACAAGGAAGAGATACCACTAAAAATAAATATTGATTAAGAAATTAAAACAGGAGGGAAATAATGTAAAAGATTTAAAGAGGGAATGGGAGAAACAGGAAGAGAATTGTGGGAAAGAGAAGGGGCATGGAATAGATAGTTTTGAAATCAGACAGAGGGAAAAGGTAGAGGGAGGGAAAAAAAACCTTGATTATATAGTTAGAATATAGATTTTGAAATAGAGGGAGAAAAAGGCTTAAAAGAGGAACACTGGAAGCAAGTTAAAAAAAAAGACTAAAAATTCAGAAGAGGTCAAGAGATGATGGATAAGAGGGGTAAAAAGAGTTAAAAATTATTGAATATATATTAATAATATATTAGAGTTATATAGGTTGGAATATGAATATGAATAAATGTATATTAAATGTTTAATGATTGTGTTTGGAACTAAAGTGTGTACTAAAATATTGAATAATGAAAGAAGGAAGGATCACGTCTCTGAATATTAAGAGTATGGAAGGGGGGAAAGGTTAACATAGAGGTAGAAATAAGAGGGGAATAATAGTATAAATAGACACTAAAATGTTACAGTGGATGGAAGAACTATGAGAAGGTTTAGAACTGAAGGACAATAGTAAAGATTATGTGTTAACAAAATGAAAAATGAAAATGAAATGCAATTATTAGAAATAATAATGTTAAGGATGTGGATTCACCTCCCTGTATTACAATCTCTGCACAAGAACTGGACGTTGTCCATGACTTTATGTACCTCGGCTCAGCTATCTCTGACACTCTTTAGATACTGAGCTGAATAAACGCATTGGTAAAGCAGCCACCATATTTTCCAGACTTACAAAGACAGCATGGCTTAATAAGAAGCTGACAGAACATATAAAGATTCAGGTCTATAGAGCCTGCGTCCTGAGAACACTCTTGTACTGCAGTGAGACTTGGACCCTTTTCGCATAGCAGGAGAGAAAGTTGAACACATTTCATAAATGCTGTCTCCGACGTATTCTTGGCATCACCTGGCAGGCAAAGTTCCAAATAGCGCAGTGTTGGAACGTGCTAGAATTTCTAGCATGTATACACTATTGAAACAGCGACATCTACGCTGGCTTGGGCATGTCGTGAGAATGGCTGATGGTCAGATTCTGAAAGATCTCCTGTATGGAGAATTAGTGCAGGAAAAGCGCCTCAGAGGGAGACCACAGCTGCAATATAAGGATATCTGCAAGAGGGACCTAAAGGCTCTGGGAATGGACATTAACAACTGGGAAACTTTGACCTCCGATTGTTCAGCTTGGAGGCTAAAGACGCAGCATGGCCTTCTCCAATTCGAAGAGACACTTGTTCATCAGGCTGAGGCAAAGAGGCAGTCCCGGAACCAGTGAAATCTGGAGGCTGGGCAGGGGACAGAATATATCTGCCCTCAGTGTGGAAGGGATTGCCACTCTCGAAATGGCCTTTTTAGTTGCACTAGATACTGTTTTAGGACCTCTTTCCAGAGCACAATACCGTAGTCTTTTGAGACTGAAGGTTGCCAATGATGAATGTTATGTTTATTTCTATTGAAATGTATGATACCCAGATACCACACCATTCACACAATGAGATGTATAAAATAAAAAATAACAAACTTGGAAAAAAAACCAAATTCTTAGCAATGCAAAGGACTATCATCAATTATATCTTGATAGACTTTATAGGGAGAGATATCCCTACAGAGAGACATACAGATACATCCATCTACACATGTGTATACATGGAGAAAATCTATGACTTTCAAACCTGACAAAATGTCAGATTACAATCAAACCTTCTGAGCTAAATTTAGAGATGTGGGGGCTTTAACTGATGAAATGATGCCGAAAGCCTCTGCAAGATTTGAAGCACCACTTTTGCTCATGGAAGTCCTTCAGCTGCAAATAAGAGCAGAAAATACTGTCTACAACCCCTCTGGTGACATCCTTGTTCAAGTAGTCCTCACTTAACCTACCACAATTGGAACTGATATTTGTGTCACTAAGCAGCCTGATTATTAAGCATGATGTCACATGACAAGGCCAATTTACATATGTTCCTCTGTAGTTGTTAAGCAAATTACTTTGGGTTGTTAAAGGCAATTTCATATGACTGTGACTTGCAATTTACTACCAGTATACCCACTGATTTTGCTTATCAGAAGCTAGCTGGGGAGGTCACAAATGAGGATCATGAGTGTGGGATGCTGCCGCCATCATAAAGGTGCAACTATTGGCAGAACCCGAGTTGGTGCAACTCCTTTTCCTGCACCTTCAAAACCACAGTCACTGCTGAAGTGCGGTCCCTGAACAAGTGCTAGGATTACCACAAATTTTGTAGAACAGGTGCATGTCTGCTTCTACTGTGCCACAGTAACTTTGAAGGCTCAGGGAAGAAGTGGTGAGTGAGGACTACCTGTGCAACCAAAGATGCCAAAAGCTCCTCAATAGCTATTTCTTAGGAAGTGCTGGATTAAGCACAATTGAACCTGGTTATAATATATGGATGGGACAGGAAATACCATACTTATGGGCAAGACATGGAAATAAAAAAACAAACATTGATCGGTTGAACGGTGTTCCAATACTGGAAGAGTTCACATAAAGAAGAGGGTGTCAACTTAGTTTCCGAAGCACCAGAGAGCAAGACAAGAAGCAATGGATGGAACTAATGAAGGAGGGAAGCAACCTAGAACTAAGGAGAAACTTCCTAACAGTGAGAACACGTAACCAGTGGAACAGTTTATGTTCAGAAGTTGTAGGTGTTCCATCACTTTTAGAAGGGATTGCACAGCCATTTGTCTGGAATGAGCAGGGGATTGGGACAGAAGTTTCAGCTCATCCCAGTGACGGAGCACCCAGAACCATTCCCAAAGAACCAACCTCCACTTGAAAGAGGCTTTTTCAAGCTTCCCACCAGCAGAAATTGCAGCCCCCAGTTTCCCAGCCTGCAGCACCAGTGGGCTTCCATTTGGGGAGGGAAGGAACCTGCAGCAGCCGCAGCTGAGAGGCTTCAGCCCAGTTGCTTCTCCGCTTCCAGCCCAAGTTGCTCCCGGACTCTCCTCCCACCTGCTGCCCTCCACTCACCTGGCAGCTGCTGCTTCGACCATGGAAACAGCAGAAAAGCCGCTCTGCACACCAACTTCCTCCCATCAGCCATCCGGAAGAGGAAGTTCCTCTGCGCCTCTCCTCTCCTCACATCCTTTCTAGCAGTACAGTACTTGATCGTTTTAACTCTTTAAACGCAAGACTTTAAACTCTGTGGCTGCTGAGCTATCAATTAGAATAGAATAGAATTCTTTCTTGGTCAAATGTGATTGGACACAATAAGGAATTTTTTTTGTGCCGAGCTCAAAAGTTAATGACTTTTACAGAATCAGCTTTCTTGGGGGTGTCTCTCAGTGGAGATCAAAGCCTCTCTACACCCTAAATCTTTATGACTTACTTAATGTGGCTCCCAAGGATTTAGGACGAGGCACCAAACTCTCCAGGGAGCCAGCTTCACTCTTGCTGGCCAGGGCTGCATCCAGGGGCACGGAGGATA